CAGCAAGTAAGGCGCCTCTTTTGAATAACCAACACAATGGTCATCAATTTCCTCTCTTATACTAACTTCATCCTCTGTTTAAAATTGCGCAATAAGAGGCGCGCCTCTGCGCAATTTGACCAAAAAACGTCTCGAGGCTTACGCAATTCCTCACCTGGCAGAGGCGTACGCCTCATCTGGTCTGAGGCACGCCTCTGAGGCTCAATTGCGCAATTCTGGGTGAGGCGTATGCCTCACAGAAACAGCCCCACCTACTTAAAATGAATCCTCTTCTTCCCTCATCCCGCACGGGTTCCCTGTTTTCCGAAAATTTCCTTCTCTTTTCGCGAAACAGACGGCATACCTTCGGCTTCCCTTCCCGCCGCCTCTCCCGCCGGCGCCGCCTCTCTCCGACGAAGTTGAAGTGTCCGGCCGCCCTCTAGGAGTACTCCACAAACAAGGTATTTTTTTTTAGTTTAGGGTTAGATTTTTCAAGTGAAAGAAAATCTAGGGTTTTATTGCACTATTTTCTTACTTTCCGCTATTTTCATATATCATTTAGATGTTTTTATTGTAAGATAGAATATTGCTATTATTTACCTGCTAAAACCCTTAATTTCTCACTTACGCAATTCTGTGTCCTTGAGGCTTACGCCTCAGACCGCCTCAAGGCTTACGCCTCGCCTCACGGACGAAAACCGCCTCGAAGCTTAATTACGCAATTTTAAACTTTGACTTCATCCTTGTTTTGGCTGATAGTACTTGGTTGTAGTAGGCTATGGGCTTATGATTTTGCATGAGTACAATCCCTAACCCATATCTGGGTGCATCGATCTCCACCCTAAAAAAATATGACTGAAATCAGGGAGGGCTAAAAATGGGATTGTAGTCATTGCTTTCTTCAGCTTCTCAAAGGCTTTGGTCGTTGCCTCTCCCCACATAAAACTATCCTTATTCAGTTACTCGGTCAAAGGCCACATAATAGTATTGTATCTCCTCATGAATCACTTATAATAACTAGTCAACCCAAGGAAACCCCTCAACTCCCTAGGTTCTTTGGCAGAGGCTACTTCTGCATTGCCTCAATTTTGATTTGATTAGCAGCCACTCCCTCCTGGGATATCACATGCTCCAAATACTCCACCCTCGCCTGTGCGAAGCTACACTTCTTCAAGTTGGCCCTCAGTTGATGCTCCTGTAGAACTCCTAAAATCACCTTCAAGTGCTTCAGATGCTCCTCCTCAGTCTTGCTGTATATCATGAGAAAATCAAGACAAACTTCGAGAGGTATGGGCTGAACACCCTGTTCATCAGAGTTTGGAAAGTAGCAGGGGCATTAGTAAGCCCAAACGGCATCACTAGAAACTCGTAGTGCACCTCATGTGTCCTGAAAGCTATCTTCTGCACATCTACCCCTTTCATTCTAATTTGATGGTAGCCTGACTTCAAGTCTAGCTTAGTAAACACCACTGCTCCATACAACTATTCTAATAACTCATCAATCAAATGAATAGGGAACTTATCTGGCACTGTCTCCTTATTCAAGGCTCTATAATAGACACAAAACATTCAGCTCCCATCCTTCTTTTTGACCAGTAAAAAAGGACTAGAGAAATGAATCACATTATGCCTGATGATTCCCGCCTCCAACATCTTACGGATCAGCTTCTCAATATCACATTTTTAAATCTACGGGTATCGGTATGGCCAAACACTGATCGGTGACACTCCCTCCTTTAAGGTAATGGCATGCTTGAGCTCTCTCTGTGGAGGTAGACCCTGGGGAGACTGAAAAGCCTCACTGAACTGCTGTATGAGTGGTTGAACTATAGTAGGAATGTCTCCATCATCCCCCAATTTGACTCCTTCCAGGCACTACAACTCCAAAAAACCTCCTCCACCTCCTGTATGGTCTTGATCAGGGATTTGAGAGATACCCCTGCTTTGGATAACCCGACGTCCCTCTAAATAACCATCCTCCTCCCCATACTACCAGCTTCATCCTTAGTGCTCCCTAATTGACCTTAGTATCTCCCAAGGTCTATAGCCACTTCAATCACAGGATGACATCAGTGCTCCTCAACTCCAAAGGAAGAAAATTCTCCCTCACCTAGATCCCCTTAATGGTCATCATCACTCCCCTACATACTCCTCTACCCATCTCCACCTTTCCCCATCATCACCCTATATCCACCGGTATCCACTAATTTCACCCTCAACTGGTCGACAATCTGATTGGAGATGAAATTGTGGGTTTCCCCGCTGTCTATCAGCACCACCACCCCTTTGTCAGTTGTTTCTCCCTTCACTTTCATAGTGTGATTCTAGGTGAATCCCACCACAGAGTTTATAGAGACTTCTGCAACATCCAGAAGGAATTTCTCTTATTCCTTCACCACTACCACACTCTCACCTCCCTCTTCAGCTTTCTCGTCATCAAAGATGATGAGAACCTAAAGAGTTCGATCCTTACATCTATACTCTTGCACGCACTTTTCATCACATCTGAAGCACAACCCCCTAGCCCTCTTCTTCCTTATCTCCTTCTCCATAAGCTTCTTGAAATTTCTCCCTCCTCCAGTTTTCTTCTTTGGTACTTCTCTCAAACTCCCTAATGCAGGCCCCTTGGGAGCTAAGAAGGTGGTGGTCATCCTATATGAACCCCCTATCCCTCCTCTCCAGACACTTCTGGTCCTCCACCAACTGTGCTAGCTCCATTGCTTCCCCCAAATCTCTTGGCCTCATCAGCCTAACTGTTACTCGGATCTCCGGTTTAAGTCCCTTCATAAAATTTCTGTTTAGTATTGTCTTCGAGAGTTGATATAGCCGGATAACAAGGTACGCAAACCTGTCACGATATTCTAGCACAGTCCCCTCCTGCGTCAAGGTGAAGAATTGCTCGTAGAAGTCTCCTCCCCTACTGATTTGGAAATATTCTAGTAAGCAATCCTTGAACTCTCTCCAACTCCGAATGGGTTACCTCATGTCCTGCCATTTGTACCATGCCAGTGCCTTCCTTTCTAAGCACAGCTCTGCAGCTGTCAATTTTTCCTCATCTGTCAACTCATTGACTACAAAGCATCGCTCCACCTTGTTGATCCAGCCATGTGCGCCCTCGCCCCCAAAGATGGGCATTTTCAGCTTCCTTACATTCGGGTCACCTCCGGTTCCCCTAAATCCTCCATATCCTCCCATTCCTCAAAGAGGAGATGCTCCCCAGTTGTCATGATCTTTCCTTTGACGATCATACCCAAACCCCTCATCTAAATCCTCTATTCTTCTTTCAAAATCAGCACCCCGACGATCGAAATCATCCCCTCCTCACAAAATTGGCACCACCCATTCTTTTGTAGTCAATGCTCATCTCTTACCTAGAAAGTGATTCTAAAGCCGACACTCCGTCTTCACCCTCCAAGATTTCAAATAACCCTAACCCTAGCAAGACAAGGCCAATTAAAGCAAAAGGACAAAAGTTTAATCCATAAACAACCCCTAATTTGAATTTTTCCTCCAATACAATGCTTAATTAATGTGTGGGTCCCATCTACTTAGCTTCCCCCCTCTCTCCTTAGTTCCTCCTCCCTTGGGCCCTCCTCCTGTAAACCAAAACCGGTCTAATAGGGACTTGTTCAGCAGGTTCAGCCAGCCCCCCTTCCCCCTTCTGCCGGCCTAATAGTATTTATTCATTAACTTAATCTTCCAATCAAACACATAGCTTTCCTTGAGCTATGGATTTCTAATTTAGCAACGTTCTTCCAAATTTCTTTGATCTGCCATTTTAGGGGGTGTTTGGTATCAGATTTGCCTTCACTTTTAAGTAGGATTTAACGTAAATCCAGCTAAATACATTTCCTTGCGCATCTAAATTCGGCGACTCCGTAAATCCTAGATTTATGTATTTAGGGCATAAATCCGGGTAAATTCTAATCCCATTCTTTCCCGAATTTAACAAGATTTATGGGATTTGGCCGGAGAAGAGCGCGAAAGGGAGAAAGTTACCTTCAAAGCCAGCGAGCTCTTGTTGTTGCATCTCATCAAAATGTCGTAACTTCCGATCCGTCAGGAAGGTAAAGTCGTCGAAGGAGCGAAGTCGAACAACCACGAAGGAGCTGAAGTAGCGATGCGTGCAATGTCTCTACACCTCCGGCGAAGCAACTGAACAACAACGACGAAAATAGAAGATGAAAGGCAAACTCTACAGGCTTCTTAAGTTATTACTGCTTAACTTAATTAATATAATTTAAAATAATTATAATTAAGTAAATGAATAGCATAATTAGTGCATAAAATAATTATCTAATTTAACTTAATTGAATAATTAATGATATATTAGTAATTAAATATAATATAATTAGCTTAATTAATACAACTTAAACTATATATGACTAAATATATAATTAATAGTGTAAATAATATTAGTGAGTAATTTAAACTTAATAATGTCGATTATCATATAATTAAATCCCTAACTGTCATAAATCTTGAAATATATTGCTAAACTTAACAGGATTTAACATTTATCTTACTAAACACTTTTCAGGATTTATAAGCCTTAGAATTTACTAAATCCGGCTTTATAGGATTTACTAAATCCCACTAAAGTTAATCCAATCCGATACCAAACACCTCCTTAAAGTGATTATAGTTGTGCTCGTTTCCTAAGGGGCTGTGCATAGTTTTGAAAGTTTATGGTGACCTCAGTAGCATGGGCTTGCATTCTTGTGACGAAGTTATGTGATACAAGTATATTCTGCAGTAAGACTAGTTGATATAAACAAATTGCGTATCGCATTATCTGTCAACCCGATTGTTCCATCAGCTGCAAGCCTGCAACGTAGGCGATTATTGCTCTTTCATCCAATAATCTTGACATCAGTCAGGCAGGTTTTTGCTTTACAGGTTTCTCACTTTTTTGTGTAGTACTCACGTTTCATCATTCGTTACATTATAAGCTTCTCTTAATAATACATTGTTGTAGTAGTGGTCATACTTTGACAGCTTTGATTGATGGCTATATTCAGGCACATTTTGGAATGTCACATCAACAGGCATTGGCACAAGTAACCGCACAGGCTGCCCATTCTCATACTCAAATTCACAGCCAGGCAGAATATCCATCTTCTCTTTCATCAATCTCCTTGCCACAGCAGGTTTCCACCACCAACATCACAACAGCCCAACCAATGCAGTCCATTACATCCGCTTCATATAAGTTTGCATCTGCTCTTATCCCTCATTGTGACCAGAAAGCTCAGCCTGTAGCTCTTGTTGTTGATAAACCTGTTGATGATGGCTACAACTGGCGTAAGTATGGACAAAAGCAGGTTAAGGGAAGTGAATTTCCAAGGAGCTATTACAAATGTACCCACCCAAAATGTCCAGTCAAGAAAAAGGTCGAACGATCCCTTGATGGCCATGTAACTGAGATAATCTACAAGGGTCAACACAATCACCAGAAGCCTGTACCTAATAAACGATCTAAGGAGGGTGCGGCTGAGCTAAACGGAAACTCTGATCCTAATAATGCTGATTGCCGGCCACAGGGTGACCTTTCAAACTTGAATAAATCAAGTGAGGGTATGACTAGTCTATGTAAAAGAGCCCGAGAATCTGGACATGGAGCATCTGAGCAGTTAACTGGTTCTAGCGATGGTGAGGAGTTGGGTGATGCTGAAGCAGGAATAGATGAAGCAGAATATAGCGGTGAATCTGAACAGAAGAAAAGGTTAGCTTTTACAGCGAATGACAAGTCCACTTGTTTACTATAGTTTCTGAAAAGGAAAAATCTCTTTTCTTTTGACAGGAACCTGGAAACCAGGGTAATAGAGTCGGCTTCTCATAGGATGGTTACAGAGCCGAGGATCATAGTGCAAACAACAAGTGAAGTTGATGTTTTGGATGATGGCTATAGATGGCGCAAATATGGACAAAAAGTAGTTAAAGGAAACCCTCATCCAAGGTGTGTGATTCTTTCTATTTCTTACACATTGGCTATAATGAGTAAGATTCAAATAATTTAATTGTAGTAATTCAAACTCTTTTGAAATGTGTTCAAAGCTAATCTATTTAGTACTTTTGTTGTCATTTCACTCGATCCTTTATTTATTTTGTTGAATCCATTTTCTAAACCTTATAAACCTTGATTAACATACTTTGATGTTACGATAAAGGGCGGCCCAAAACAAATTTTTTTGGGAGTGCCAAAAAGATGAAATAGATCAACTTAGGAGAAACATGTCTTGATCCAATCTAATGGTTAGAATAAGAAGGTCCCAAAAGGTGCCGATGGTTAGGATAAGAAGAGCACACAAATTGTAATCTGAGTGCTATTAGGTGATTAATTTAATGGTTGAAACCCTTAATTAGTATGTTCTAACATCTCTATCATAATTGGTTGATTTGTGAATATCAAGATCCTTCTACACGAACCTATTTCTTCAGACTTTAATAAATACCCATCATTAATATTCCATTTGTTCATCGGAAGTTCAAGAATTTTAAATTGAAATCTAAGGCTTTCAAAGTCACATTTGGGTACCAACGTCGGGAAGTAGTTCAAAATCCAATTTCATCTGGTGAGCGTGCAATCTAGCGCCTCTGAGAAGTCTGGTTTGCGAAATGGTGTGCTTATAGGTGACGTATACAATAATTCAGCCCCAACAGTTGTAGAAGAGATCTTTTCCAGATGGCTCGAGTTTTAATCGACTGGTTGGAAGTTGCAATTTCCATCTGCTACCCAGCTTCTATTGGATCTCTCTTCGAAGATCTATTCCAACTGGAGCTTTCAAGCAAGGCTGACTACTGATATCTGGAGAGAATATGGGATCTCTTGACCGCATAGTTGCAAGAAGAACAAAAACCATTGGTCGGATGGTCGATTTCTCTTAGTCTAGGCTTGTCGAAATATCACTTCTTTCATCTTATGAAATTATCCAGGTTGTATAATATTCTCGAGACCCAAAATTAGCTCAAACACAAAGCTGCCATACTAGTTAACAATGCCCATGCAACTGAGACCCGTTCCGCACATTGAGAAGGACAAGTGCACAGGGGCAGAATCAACCTTAATTTTTCAGGGGGGGCAAACTTATAAGGCATATATGTCGGGGGGGTGGGGTTCAACCTGAAGACCATAGTATTTTAAAATTTTTGGTTTGAAGGATATTTTTGGAATTCAATGATGAATTCTCTTTACTATTTGATAAGGGCAATTACGTAAAGACCATAGTATTTTAAAATTTTTAGGGGGGCAATTGCCTAAAAACCCTTGTAATAAAGACTAAAAAATGAATGTAGAGGGATAAATTATCTAAAAAATCATATAATCATTTTTTTTGAGGAGGGGGGGGGGGGGTGGGCAATTGCCCCCCGACCACAAGGTGGTTCCGCCTCTGCAAGTGCAAGTTCTGATCCTTCCAATCTTCAGAAGATGCATGATCACCTTCGTTGAACTATTCCTTCATGCATCAAATGAACCAAACTGTCAAAAACATCTCGGCACCTCCCCTATGGGCGAGGGAGGGCTCCAATTGAACCCTTCGTTGAACTATTCCTTCACCCTCTTATTCAGAGAATCACCTAAATTTGTACTTCTGCCAAAATAGGGTAGAAAACACAAACGAAAATAAGAATTCTATATGCCAATTTCAAGCAATTGTGATAAGATTATTGATTTTAACAATTATATTGTATAATCTTCAGAAGATGCATGATCAACTTCCCTCTTATTCAGAGAATCACCTAAATTTGTACTTCTACCAAAATAGGGTAGAAAACGCAAACGAAAATAAGAATTCTATATGCCAATTTCAAGCAATTGTGATAAGATTATTGATGATAACAATTATATTGTATAAATATTTATAGTTTCCATTTTTCTTTTTGCTGTAATTTGCAGGAGTTATTACAAGTGCACTAATGCAGGATGTAATGTTCGTAAGCATGTTGAAAGGGCTTCAACCGACCCAAAAGCAGTCATAACAACTTACGAAGGGAAGCATAACCATGATGTTCCTGCTGCTAGGAACAGTAGCCATAGCACTCATGCTCTCGCTGGGCCTGCTAATAGAAATAACTCTGCTCCTCATGTAGTCGAGTCAAATAATCAAATCATTAATGGAATATCAGATTTAAGAAACAATGTTCACCGGCCAATTGCTGTTCTTCAGCTGAAAGGGGAACATGAAATGACATAGAAGTTTCAAGAAAAATTTGTAATAGTTTGTGACTAAGGCTTAGTTGGGATGGCTTTCTTACTGCTTCTTAAATAAGTTTTTTAATTAATAAACTAGAAAGCTCTTTTAAGAAGCAATTAGAAAGCCGTCCCAAACGAAGTCTAAAACAGGATTGGAGCAACAATTTGGCAGTAAATTTGTAGCAATCAACTTGTAATTATTAGTTCTTGTTGTATTTATCATTGTTCCTTTTTTGTCCTCAACAAGTCTTGTTTTAGTTCAGAGTTGATAATTCCTGCTTTATTTAAGCTTGTAGCATCACATAGTACAATCAACCATATGAAGACATGTCTGGGCTTTTTATTTGGTATTCATTCTCTTCAATGAAATCACATAATTGTTTTTTGGGATTAATTTTATTTTGTTCTATATGCTAGATGCACTTGTCATTTTTTCCTAGAGTTTTACTTGTATGCTGGTTCAGAATTTGCTTATAATTCTTTTGACGTGGTTTCTACCGATCAAATAGATGTATCAATAGTGATTTCTTCAAGTCCGATCATGCAATGTATTTTATATGATGTATATTTATTACATCAAGCCAAGACCTTCCCCCAAGGAAAGGTCTCATTTGTACTCGATTGGAAATAATAATGGATTCATTCAAACTGAGTCAGGCCTCGTGGTTTTTTCCCTTCTCAGAATTTTCCATGTAAAAAATCTTGATGTCTCTTATGAATGTTGCACCCTTACTTTTTATCTGATTATGTAATGGATCTTCGTACAAAACTACGATGTTAAAATTTATATTTCTCTACCGCCGCAAATATTCCTGGATGCAACAAGAGAGAAGACACTTTTGCTTCTTCATGGAATTCTAACACACAGGGAACACGAGCAATTTTTAAAACTATCTGAAAATAAAAATAAATAAACAAACTTAAGAATCGTTTGGTTTGGAAAAAATCCAACAATGAAGATGTAGAACAGGTGAAGGAAAGGCAAGTGCTGTAGGAGGCATTTGGGTGAGTTGGAGTTGTGGTTATGAAGATCTAGTGGAGTGGGCTTGTAGAAGGAGATGCTATGTAGGTCGACTGCCTGTGTAGAGTGGTGAGCGGGAGAGCAGGGGCGGAACCAGCTTCAATTTTGAGGGGAGGCAAATACAACACAAAAATAATTAAATATTAAAAAAATATTATTATATATCTACATATTACGATAAGTTAAAAAAAAAATTAAGCAAGAAAAATAAAGAAAAAAAATATAATTAAACAGTCATGAAAAGCATGAAAGAGAATATTATAACTAAATGTGAAGAAATATATAGATATTTTAGGACAAGATAGGATAAACGAGTTTTTTAGAGGGGGCAAAAAAAATTTTAGGAGGGGCAAAAAATTTTTTATACTCTCCTATAATTTTTTTTTTTTACTCTTATAAAATTTTTTTTTTTTTAATGTCTAGTGATAACATCCATGACTAAAGCAAAAAGATATTTCAAGTTTACCTTCAACTCCCTCTCTAGTCTTATCAACAAGAAGAATATCATCAACAAAAAGCATGCACCAAGGTATATATCCTATAGCAAATGTCTAGTGATAACATCCATGACTAAAGCAAAAAGATATTTCAAATTTACCTTCAACTCCCTCTCTAGTCTTACCAACAAGAAGAATATCATCAACAAAAAGCATGCACCAAGGTATATCCTCTAGCAAATGTCTAGTGATAACATCCATGACTAAAACAAAAAGATAGCAAAAAAAAAAAAAATGCAATACCTTGGTGCATGCGAAGTTCGATTGAGAGAGAGGGAGATGCTCGGCGGCGGGCGACCAGGAGAGAGGGAGATGCTCGGCGAAGTCCGGTGACCGTCGGCGGCGAAGTTCGATGACCGTCGGCGACGTCAATCTTCGGCCAGCGACGAACGGCGACGGAGGGCGACGGGCGAAGGAGGCGAGGTGAGAGAGAGTAGCGAAAAGAATGACGGCCCAGAGGGCTCCGATTCGCATTTTAGGGCTTTTAGCGGCGGCCTTTCCGGCGGAGGTTCCGCCGGAAATTTTACCGGCGGACAATGCGCCGGCAATTTTTCGTTGAGTTTAAATAAGCCGGCGCATACTCCGCCGGAACTGTTTCGTTGAGTTTAGAAGAACGTTTCCGCCGTAATCTGCGCCGGAAATAATCCAGAGCAGTTTTCACCGGCGGTATTGCCGGCGCAATTGGCGCCGGTAAATTTCCGGCGTCCTTTCCGCCGGAAATAACGCCGTAAACGTTACGTCGCATCATTCCGCCGGAACCTGCGCCGACAATGCCGGCGCAAAAAAATCTGCCGGAAATTCCGACGGTAATCACGTGTTTTCCCGTAGTGTCAGAAGCCATCCGGGTAAATTTGTGTAGCATCATCCTTGCCAAAAATCATGCTCATCATCATTTTCAACAGAGTTGTGCACTAATGGTTTTTCCTTAACAAATTTGGTGTATTGAGTGTATCACTGAGATCTATTTCACAACAGAATAAACGTTTTGAGCTATTTTTATTATGATTGTGGTGTCTCGATACTCGTGATAAGTGACATATCTATTAGGTGCTTCTTTGATGGACTCCATTGATCTTGAAATATATATTATTGTCCATAACTTATGAGAACAATAATAATAAATATTATTATTTAATTAAATTTAGTCTCTTGAATGCGTTTATGTTGGCAAACATAAAAATTTCCCTTCATTTTCATGTCTATATTGATATCTTGAAATTTTCTTTTTCCCTTTTTTAATTGACATATTGGCATATGGTTAAAATTCCTTTTTTTGGGGGCTTCCATTTCTAATAGGCGAGGTAATTATTTCTTGAATATAATTAAAACTTTATATAATTGCCAATTTTAAAACTTTAACTTCTACTTTTTTTACAGTCTTTATAAGTAAGAAAAATTAGAATAATTGTAATAAATTATAATAAATATTAAAGTTTTATCTATCAAAAAATACATAAAATATGGAAAAAAAAAACCAACTTCATTCAAGTTTAAAATTTTCATCTTTTTTTTTTGGTTTCATTATATGAATATCAATTTCTGTAATATATAAGAAGGATAATGTGAAGAATGATAAGCTTCATTTAAGATATAAGCTGCTATCTTAATCAAAACTAAAAAAAAAAAAAAAAAAAAATCAAATTTTGAGAATTAATAAATGTTGAAAAAAGATGAAAGATTAAGCATTTCATTCTTTTATATATATATAATGATAGCTAAACCCTAAACTTGAATTTTTTTCTTAGGAGAAGAGTAACTTTCTCCTTTTTGCACAGCCTCTATTAAAAATCTTTGGTTGGCAGGAGAGAAGCATCAAGTCTGTAGATTTTTGCTGAATTAAGGAAAGCTAATACTGTTCTTCTCACTTTAGAGCAGCAGCTCTATCTTAAGTGAGTTGGTAGGGGTTGAGAGGAATGGCTGGCTTGTATAATATGATCCTTCTTTAATTCTCAAGCCTTGCCAACCAACAAGATCTTAACCTTAAACATTTATTCCTTTTCATAGCATGAAAAAGAGGAAGTGAAGTAGTCTGATTTAACTTTTGTTTGGTAGTTGGTTTGAGTAAACTGGAATCCATCTGAATTGGTGGCATGTGGTTGTTGTGGTCTTTCATACTTCATTGGAAAGAAAGAGAGGCTTCAATTTCTACTTTTTGGGGTCTAGCAATTGTCAACTCGAATAGAGAAAGAACAATACATCAATCAATGTGAAAATTATGGGAAGAAAGCTTTGGTCCGCACCGTATTCCCATTAACAATCCGTGTGCTCTAATTAATTATTCATTTGGGATAGCTTTTTTATTGCTTCTTTAATAAGCTTTTCAGTACAATGATTTTTTTAATTTTAAGGTATAGGAAGCTTATTTAAGAAGCAGTAAAAAGGTTGTCCCAAACGAAGTTTAAATTAACCGCATGATCGATGACCAGACTACTCGGTAATAAGTCATTGATCATTCTTCCTTATTTGATGACCCTTCTCAAGATAAGAAAGAGTAATAAGTCATTGATCATTCTTCCTTATTTGATGACCCTAAACCCTATAGGCTAATTTACTTTTCGATCTTAGAACTTGTGATTTGCATGTATACCACCAATAAATATTTACCTCTTCTATTGCCTGATCATAATAATAAGATTTAAGCTTTCTTCAGTACCTATTACTTGTCTCTTAGTTTTTTTTTTTCACAATCAAGCAAGAAAGCAAAGCATTTGAAAAAAAACGAGGTTTTTATTTTGGTTGGCTGATGTCTGGCTGGTCTTCATATGTTTGAAATGGTATTCTGATGGCAGAATTTCAAACGACTGGAAATAAATTGAACTATATGCTTAAGGTAAAAAATAAGTAAATTTGAAAAAAAAGAAAAAGTAGAACAATAGCGTGATATATTATGTGTGGAATATAAATATGATTGTGTTGATTAATCATATTGTTCTGTTGGCTCGGACCTCAAGTTTCTCGTGCTCACCGAAGAGTAAAGGGGGTTTACCCCCTGCTTGGGTACGGGTGTTTTGCAACTGAAAATTCTTTTTTAATGTGTAAAGCCCCATCACTGCGTACCTGAGCGCCGCGATGCTACATACACGAGCACCCCGAGATTAAACGACAGATCAGCAAAGCGCCGCAGCTAGCGACATAGATACAACACTGCAACAAATCATGACAGAGGTTCAAGCATCGCATCCACTTCAAACTGGCATCGAATGCAGCGCTGCGAAATAGATTGGACGATTTTCTTCTTTCTCATTTTTCTGAAGGGTTGCGTCCCTTGAGGTTATTTTATTTGGTTTTCTCTTCTATTTTGAGTGTGTAGATATTAAGAATAGTGCATGTGATGAGAGAAGCAAGGAGAGATTGAGACATAAGAGATATATGTACCTATTTCTCTCAATTTTTATAATGAATTTATTGATGTGGTGTGGCTCCGTAGTTTTTTTCTCTATTTTGAGATTTTTCACATTAAATCATGGTGGCCTTTACTTTAATTTTTCGTTGCTTTTGCTTTTTTGCTTGATTCAACATTATGGTGTTTACTCCTCCTCATCTCCCCAACAACTGGTATTAGAGCGAGGTTGTTTAGTTTGAGGAGGAGTAATGGAGGATAAAGCAAAGATAAAAGATTGAGAAGTTTAACGGTTTGAACTTCTTATTTTGGAGGATGCAAATTGAAGATTTGTTGTATTAGAAGAAGTTGTATTTACTGTCGGAAGGAATCACAAATTAAGAACCCATATTCTATGACAATGGAGGAATGGGAGCTAGATTCTTGACCGGACTACACTAGCTAGCTAGGTTTGATACAACTTTCACTTTTCTCATTTGTTGCATTTAACATTGTAAATGAGAAGACTATAGTCGTTCTTGTGGTTGCACTGGCCAAAATGTATGAGAAGCCATCAGCCTCAAACAAAGTATTCTTGATGAAAAAGTTATTCAATATGAAGATGTTTAACATCACTCCAATGGCAGAACACCTGAATAATCTAAACACTGTGATGAGTCAATTTTGTTCAGTTAATTTGCATCAATTTTGATGATGAGGTGAGAGTATTGTTGTTATTATCTTCATTGCCAAAAAGCTGAGATGGTCTTGTTACTGTTGTGAGTAACTCTTCAGAAAGTTCAAAGCTGAACTTTGAGGACATTATTGAGTTAGTGCTTAATGAAGAGGTTCCAATAGGGCGAACTGTGAATCTTCAAATTATGCTCTAAATGTTAAATCAAGAGGAACGGGTTTAGAGACAAATCAAAACAAAGGGAAATCTAAATCCAAGAGAGAAAAGTCCACTTCAAGTAAAAGAAAAGTTGTGTGGAAAGAAGGAACACTTGAAGAAGGATTGTATAGTTCCAAAGAAGGGCAGTGCTCGAGTACAAAACAAAATTATCATTCTACAAATGATGTCGAGTGGCTAAGAGTTTATGTTTTGAAAATTAATGAAAACGCTTTATGATGTATAGATAAGAGCATAGGGATAATGATATATAACAAGGATATGAAGCATGCATTAAACATTAACATTATGTTATTATATTTTAAAACAAAAAATATTATACTGTAATTACCTAAATTAAATAAATATGAAATGAATTTATATTATAATATATTTATATCTCACTTGCCCATAAATTAAGAATTATATAAATTCATTAAATATATTAAAATCAATTGAAGAAAGAATAGTCACATAGTATTATTAGCTTAAAGTTAAAAAAATTGACTTATATAAAATAAATAAAAAAACAAATATTAGAAAAATAATCATTTGAAAATATAGCCAAATAAAGAAAATAAAATTAGAGTTAACTTACTATTAAGTTATTTGTATAATATATTACAAAATAAATAGAATAAACAACTTAAGTAATATTTATGCAATATACTTTCAAATTAAAATTTATCATTCAAGAAACATTTGTTTGCTATTTTTTTAATTTAATTGGACTCATAGACAACATGTTCATTTCATTTCAAGCACTCATAACATTATATGCTTCATTATTATAAAGTGTTTGTATGATTGTATCTCATAACTAAATGTCAAGATTATTACAGCTGTTTTTAAAAGAAACTTCTTTATTTTTAAGAAAATAAAAATTATTTCAAAACACTAATGAAATATATTAAAAAAAAAATTTTAAACATAATAACAAAAAACAATGCCAGAAAAAACCATAAGATTTTAACTCGATGAGGATTTGGGACAACTTTTTAGCTAATTTATTATTCAAATAACAATTATAATCTCTTTTGACTACTATTTTTTATTATTTTTTTAAAAAATGTATTATAAAAAACTATTTTCAATAATTATAATATTAAAATTATTTTCTCTATAAAAATTTCATAATCAATTTTATAAAAAATTATTTTCAATAATTATAATATTAAAATAGCATACATATCTGTCACAGATGGGACAAAGCGGTTACGTAGAATTCTGATGGCTGGACGTCTCTGATCCCGCTAGAATAGCTGTTTTGTACGAATATTATTAAAAACTTCGGGTTTCCTCGATGTCATTGGGTACCTTCCACAGCTGGACCTACCATAACTGCCGAGTCGAACCAACCGACCGGTCCATTTCAGGCATGCGGTTCACTCCCGCGCTCTTCGCCTTCCCCTTTTCCCACCTTCATCTCTCCTCGGCGGTCGCCTTAAAATATTTAAAACCGTATGTATCACAAATTTCCGCTGAAACCAGATTCGGTCCTCTTCATCCAAGTGTAGTTTTCCGGTTATCGATCGGGTTGTGAGGATTGTTTTGTCTCAGCATTGTGATAATTTGATCTGAGGCTCGTTGGATAGTTAGGGTTTGGATCGTAACGGGGAAGCGACGGCCGCCGGAGGCGGAGCCGTCGGATGGCGCTCTTCAGGAGGCTGTTCTATAGAAAGCCACCAGATCAGCTCCTGGAGATCAGCGACAGAGTTTACGGTAATGCTCGTCTTCTGCTTCCTTTCATTCTCTCGCCTTAGTGCTTGTTTTCGTAAGGAACGGTTGGGAAATGGATAGGATTTTACTTTTGTTTCCCCGATTTTAGCAAGTGGGGTTGGAAGAAGGATTGTTGTTGAATTTTGGTCGAAAAAGTGAGTTCGGTTATGAGATTGAGTTTGCTCGGGATCGAAGCTTCTATGTGGGATCTTCACCTTGCTTTAATATTTATCTGCTCAGGAATATTGAGAACATCTTATTCCACCTAACGTACATACAGTTAGTTCATTGCTAATAATATGTTAGAAGTACTATAACTAAATTTCCACTTTGATTGTTCTCTTTATCAAATTATTTCTTTTATTGTAGTGTTCGACTACTGCTTTTCATCGGAACATTTGGAAGAAGATGGGTATAAGAATTACATGAATAACACTCTGGTACAGCTTAAGGGCTATTTTCCTGATGCTTGTCTCACGGTGATTAATTTCAGAGAGGGGGAAGGAAAAAACCTGGTTGCAGAAATTCTTGCTCGCTTCAATATTAGTGTCATTGAATATCCTCACGGATACCATGGATGTCCGCTGCTTCCCTTGAGGATGGTCTACCAATTCTTAAGGTTATGTGATAACTGGCTGTCATCAGAAGGGCAGCAAAGCGTTCTCCTAATGCACTGTGAAAGAGGAGGATGGCCTGTGCTTTCTTTCATGCTTGCTTCTCTCATGCTCTACAGAAGTCAGTACAGTGGAGAGGAAAGGACTCTTGAAATGATGTATAAGCAGGCTCCAAGGGAGCCCCTCCAGATGTTTTCTCCCTTAAACCCGTTTGCTTCACATCTGAGGTACCTCCACTACATCACAGGAAAAGGCAATGGGATACAGTGGCCTCTATGTAATGTGCCGTACAGTTTGGACTGCCTTATTCTTCGAAATGCTCCATATTGTGATGGCAAGGCAGGATTTAGGCCATTTGTCCGTGTGTGTGGTCGGGATCCTTCTAACCTGGTTGATGAAGGCCATAGGGTCCTCTTCACTTCACTAGAGAAGAAAGAGCTGGTTCATAATTCTGTACAGGTAATGTCTAAAATCATAGCAAATTGTTGTTTACATTGGTATTTTACGACTAGAAATCAATTATCATCAATTGCAGGCAGATGGCACAAAGATAACAATAGATGTTCGTTGCAGCATTCAAGGTGATGTTGTCCTTGAGTGCATATGTTGGGATGAAGATCTAGAACGTGAGGAGACGATGTTCAGGATTATGTTCAACACAGCATTTATTCAAGACAACGTTCTGCTTCTAAATAGTGAGGAGATTGACATCATATGGGGTATGGAGGACCAGTTTACTAAGAACTTCAAAGCAGAGGTAGGTGCTTGCTTCTTTTTCTGTGGAGTCAATTTTAAAGACGCTCTGCTGGTTGAAAGTACATTCATGGCTGAACCAGGTAATATTTTCAGAATTTGATGTTGGTTCCACAACCCCCCAAGTTGTAACTACAGAGCAGGATGAAGTGGAAACTGAGGAGTTCTTTGAAGCGGAAGAGATCTTTAGCAATTCCGATTTGCATGATGGAACAAGGGACCTGGATATTCACTCAACTCCAATCGAAGTTCATGACAGCAGCCTGCCTGAATTTGTTTCAGATCATAAAGACACGGAAAATATTAGTTTAGAATTTGACCATCAGAATCTGAAGAACGGGCTTGCACAAGAAATTCTTACTTTGGATGACCCAAATGTTTTGCCAGAGATGGAAACGGAAAAACAGCTAGGAGCCAGCCATGGTGATGAAAGCCAGAGGTTGGACATTGAAAACACGGACATCATTGTTGGAACACATACACAAGACTCAGCATTTATAGAAGAAAATACGTTCATTACTGGAAATCTCAGAATTGATTTTAAAAATTCTTTCAGCAATATTCTTGATGATAAGAAAGTAATTTGTACCGCAGTATCAACAGACGAGGCTAAACTTGGCCTACAAATCAAACTTGCAAAACAGAATAATGAAACTTGTGACATTGGAGGGCAATGTTTTCATGATTCCAGCCCTGATAGGACCCCTAAAAGGGTTGATCTGAGTCAGTATACCAAAAGAATTCCTAATTTGGCAGATGATCCGATGAGCTTGCCTGAAATGAATGGTTTGATACACGAAGTGGAGGGCCTTATGAATACAGATACTCGAGAAGTCTTTGATGGTGGTGCTTTAGGTCATGCAACTAGTCAGTTAGAAATTATACTTGCAGATCAATCAGAGTTCAGCTTTAAAAATGAAGAATCGGTGAAGGTTGAATTTCCCGAAGGAGGCTGTGTTCATAGTGGAAACTGGTCTGAATTCGGGAACTTTAATTTGATTTGTTACAAAGAGGATGCAAATGATAAACATAATTTTGAAGCTAAAGAACATACTATTTTAGCATCTAACGGACTTGAACAGGGCTCACAGGGAAACGGGCAAATTATTTCATGTGATATGACTCAGAAATTTGAAACTCAATTGTTTTGCGATGAAAGGAGAAGCTCAGGGATTGAAAATTCTTATCCCACTACTGGTACTGATTTAAACAAGAAGCCTATTCATGATAGCCAAGGTGCTCAAACTGGGAACTCAGAAATTATTGATTGGATGGAACACAAAGAAGTAAGTCGAAATTGCATTAAGGATGGCTTTGTTTCCCAAAATAGTGTTTTTCTTGAGCTTTCTTGTGAAAATAAAGAGGCTCATGTTGATAGAAAGAAGAATGAGGAACAGCAGTCTGCTACATCACAGAAACAGTCTAGCATAGCACCTTCTGATCCAGTTCCCATTGCACAAAAGGATAAACTACAAATATCAGCTGGTGATAATGAAAAACTTACAGAACCACAACTTGTAATTATCCAAACTTCTGTGAGCAATGATTCAGAAGTTAATCATGCCCATTTGTCATCTTTCCCATTTACAAACAGCAGCTCGTTGCCTTCTATGGCCCCCTCAATATCATCCATGCCACATCCAAGCTTGAGAGAAGATCCCTTTTCACTTTCATCTGCACCAACATATCATTCACTCCCTTTTTTGTCTCAATCTTCTCATTCTGGTAGTCTTCTCCATGAAACCCCTTCTTCGCCTCCTCATCAACCTCATATGTGTTTGAAAGACAAACTTCCTTCACACTCACATCCCCCACCACCTCCCCAACCTCCTCATCATCCTCCACCCATGCATTCCAGAGATTCACCTAAACGTAAACATTCTCCTCCTCTCCCTCCACCTCAAAGTTCACCTTCTACATCCCTGTCTCCACCCCCACCTCCACCCCTACCTCCAGTGCAATCCATTCATCCGAGATTATCTTCCACAGTTGCTAGATCCAACTGTTCAGGTAGTCACCTCTCTTTACTTCCATATAGAGAAGCTTGTCAAGCGCCACCTCCTCCTCTAGTAACCCCTCTTAGTAAAAAGCAAAGTGCTAGTGAATTACTTGCTTCATACCTACCTCCCTTACCTCCTATCAAGGTCAATAGTCCAACTAAATCCCTTTCAACAACTTTCACAAATTCGTCATTCACTGTTTGGAAATTTGATTTTGCATTGTTTGCATCCCACCTGGCTTTTTTGCCCTTTATGGAGTTTCAAAATTCTACTAAAGTCCCTATGTCAAAATGTCCATCTTCATCACCTTTGCATCATGTTAAAAAGTCCAAAACATCAAATTTTTTCAGTGCTGAAATTTCTACACCATCTTATGCATCTACTTTTCACGAGGGATCTCCATCACCTTCCGGAGGCACATCTCCTACAATTCCAAGAACTTTTAATCCGTGCCAAATCCTTGGAGAAAATACTCCCCAACCTCCACTACCACCCCCTCTTATTGGATTTCCATCTGCACCTGTCACCGAAAGATGTAAAGGAGCTCCATCTCTACCACCTCACCCCTTAGGGGGTTATGGGCAAGGTTCAACTCCATCCTCTCTTGGACAAACTATATCCTCACGACTAGCTCCTCCTCTTCCCTACAAAGGACCTGTTGTCGCACCACCTTCACCACCTTCACCACTATCTGTATCTCCTCCACCTCTTCTTTCTCCACAAGTCCCAACTCCTATTTTTAGAGGAGCTTCACAACTCCCTTCCCTCCCTGGAGGACTTGTGGGAGGACCACTTCCATACCCCCTGCCTAATTTTGAGGGAATTCCAACACCATCACGTATTCATGGAATGCCTAGGGGACCACCACTGCCACCACCACCCCCTCCTCCTACTTCTGGTGGAGCTCCTACACCAGCGCTTACACCTCCCCCTGAAGGTCATAGGGTAGCACCAACTCCATCTTCACTCCCTGGAGGACTTGGGGAAGCTCCACCACTGCTTCCTTCTCCTAGAGAATTTGGTGGACCTCCATCACTAACCCCACCTTTTGCTTTTGGATCCAGCGGAATTTCTTTAGAACCACGTTATCATGGTGGACATGAGGGTGCTCCTCCACCGCCACTTCCACCTAGTGGATATCATGATAGAGATCCACCTACATCATCTACCACTAAAGGAGGTGTACCACCTCCTCCAATGCTTCCGAGGACTCCAGGTGTTCCCCCGCCACCTCCAAGTTCTGGCTTGAGAGGGCCACCACCACCATTAGGCCCCATGACTGGTGGAAAGGGACTTGGATTTGCACGTGCTGGTGTTCCTTCTACAGCCATAAAAAAATCAATTTTAAAACCATTGCATTGGGTTAAAGTAACAAGAGCTACGCAAGGGAGTTTATGGGCAGAACTACAAAAGTATGCTGATGCACAGAGGTATAATGCTTTTAGCTCTCTTCTTTTTTTTATTCTTTCTCATCAGTTACAAAATAGGCTACGTTATTATTAATCTTAAGACTGCGATTCCTTGTAGTATTTTAAGTGCTGAAGCCTTACTCTAAAACAGAAGATTTGCCATGTAAAAGGCATTATGAATGCATAAAATGTTTCACTGCCTTGACCTTCTTAAAAAACATGTGTACAAAAGTTAAAAAACTTAATAGTTTATGATTCTTGATTTTCTTTATAGTTTTCTTTTCACTAACGGGCTAATTTTTGGTTCAGCACTACAGAATTTGACATTTCAGAGCTTGAGACTCTTTTCTCTTCTGTTGTTAAAAAACCAGACGGTTCTAAGTCGGAAGGACACAAATCTATTACTAAATCTGATAAAGTGCATCTGGTATGTTTCTTTTTGGCTTCTCCAAAATAGTGAAAATAAACCTTTGAAAATAAAGAATTGGTAATGAGTATTTTCTCGTTTTCTTCTTTTTTGCCTTATCATATTCTATGTTATTGTATCAATATGCAAATGTGATTTATGATGAGTACTGGTACTGTTCATTGGATGCTTCTAGTTATATGAAATTGGCAGTATATATATATATATATATATATATATTAATTGGCAGTTGAAGTACTTAGCATCTCTTAGTAGAAGCCTATTAAGGATAGTGAAGTACTCTATTGATTCAAGAGGACGTAGTTGATGGTTAGCTCCATAGGAGGCTGACAGTGTGTTAGCTGACAAGCAGAGGGAGAGGTCGATAGGAACAGCGGTAAACTTTTCTGTAAATCTTAGGTTTTCAGTGACATATTAAGGTTGTTGATGTTAGATCTGAGGCAGTGACCATTAAAGTGTTGGCGGTGGCTTGATTAAAGACAGTGATGTACGCTTTAGCTATAGAAGTGGGGAAGCTGAATACTACAATAATAGGAAGATTATTATTGTATTATAAACCTTGAGATTGATTAATTGTTTTGGTTTAAAGAACGTGAGATTGAAGGAAAAAAACATAACAAAGACTTTTGAGATAAAATTAACAAACTGTTTGGGTGAACAAATATTGCATCTTGTACGCATCTTTACAGTTGTGGAAATATCGATCCATGTGTTTATGGATGTAGGTGAACTTTGTTGAACCACTTATATATCTTGTCCCTATTTTCGGGTTTTATCCTTACAGATTTTTTTGTTTTTGTTTTCATTAATTGACATTGCTCTTAGATGCACTTTTTGTTTCTAACAATTAGTATCAGAATTAGGGTAGCTTTATAGTTCTACTAGAAAAGTGAAAGACATTCAAACATTATAAAGCGAATAAGATTGACATATTAATGGTATGAACTTTTGTTATTAGAAGATAAAGATTAAAAACAATATATATCAAAGAGAGTTATATTTACCTTTCTTGAAATTGAAGGAGAGTAGGAGACTACTATGAGCCAATAGTACTAGGATCTCTTAGGTATCAGGCATTTGGAGTTAGGAGTTTCATCCTTGTCACAAACGAAAAATGTTGCCTTCAACATATTGTATGAGAAGATCACATATGGCATGATGAGAGTTCTGTCATGAGAAGCATTCAACAGTAAACAAGATTTCCTAATTTGAAAGTTTTTCATTCTTAGGATGACTAAATGCGCTTTTCCAGCAGAGCATATACCTTAGCACAATCTGATCACAACTTAATTGAGCTAGGTTGATATCAACTCCGATGATGTTCTCTTTAAAATTGTTGCAATCTGATAGGAAATACTTGAGTTCGCAAGTAACCTTAAGGTAATACTTGAGTTCGAAAGCAAACCTAATCGAAATTAGTAGGAAAGCAGAGAGAAAACTGCTGTTTAGAGCAATAATTCAGCCCAAACGCAGCAGATTTTGCATAGAAACAGTGATGAACTTGGAGAAAAACAAAGTAGTTCACTAGTAGATGCGAGAAAACAACAAAAGATATACGTTTCTTCAATTCGAGAGGAAGAAACAACTCTCCGATTCTCTAGCCGTAACCTAGAGCCCAAGCACAAACCCTAGATCTCAAAATTGCATTCAAATTCAAGATAATCCCTAATTTCCTCTTATTCCCCTAATTAATCTCAAAGGAGAATTACAACTTACCTTAACAGCCCTTACATTCAAATTATTTCCCATAAAATTTGCATTAAATCCAGCATGAGGCCCACATGAGTTCCGCCCCCCTCCCTGTGCTTCTTCCGCCGTGCATAAACCAGGACCGGTCCAGGTAGAACTGGTCCTGGGCTGGCGTGAGCGTGGGCGTAACATTACTCCCCTCCCAAAAACTCGCCTTGTCCTCAAGGTGGAAAAAAAGGAAATTGCTTTTTCACTCTTTCAAATGGCTCCCAAGTAGTATCAAAATCAGGGAGATCTTTCCATCGAATCAACACTTCCTTATTGCCCTCTTTATCTAATCTTACCCTTATAAGCTCCAGGGGTTCTAAAATCACTTCCCAATCCTCCGTCATTGTCGCTGGTAATTCTACACTAACTGCATACTCCCCTATAGCTCTCCTCAACTGAGACACATGGAACACTGAGTGTATGGTGGCGGTGGGAGGCAACTTTAGGCGGTAAGCCACTGTGCCAATCTTGTCCAAAATCTTGTAAGGGCCGAAATACCTCAGTGCTAATTTCTCATCTCTCCTTCTAGCCACCGTCTTTTGCCTATAGGGCCATAGTTTTAGGAACACCTTCTCCCCCACTTCAGATTGCATGTCCCTCCTGTGTGAACCCGCCTGTCTCTTCATAATTTGTTGTGCCCTCAGAAGATCGATGTGCCTTCAACTTTTCCAATACCTCCTCTCTTTCCTCCAGAGAGACAGGTGTACTTCCTCTCCCATAGCGTACTAGGCGCGGGGGGTCCCTCCCATACAACACTTTGAACGGGGTCATCTAGGAAGCAAAATGGTATGATGTATTGTACCAGTACTCAGCCAATGGCAGCCAGTTTGCCCACATCCGCAGGGTTTCATAAGCAAAACACCGCAAATAGGTCTCCAGTCTCCGATTCACCACCTCTGTTTGCCCATCTGTCTGTGGGTGATATTCGGTGCTTCTCTTAAGGACAGTGCCCTGCATCCTGAACAACTCCCTCCAAAACTGACTGAGAAACATTGTCTTGATCAAACACAATCGATTCAAGAATCCCATGCAGTCTCACAACCTCCCTGATAAAAGCTGCTGCTACCGACACTACGGTGTAATGATGTCGTAAGAGGATTAAGTGTGCATATTTGCCAAGTCTGTCAACCACCACCATGTTGACCGTGAATCCTTCTAATCTTGGTAAGCCATCATGAAATCTATGGACACTTCCTCCCAAACTCTATTTGAAAGTGTTAATGGTCGTTGCAGTAATCCTCTTGGAGCCAAGGTCATGTATTTGTTCCTCTAGCACACCTCTCACCTTGCCACCATCTCCTCAACATCTTTATGCATACCCTTCCAGTAGATCTCCGCTGCTAGCCTCCTATATGTCTTTTGAATTCCTGAATGGCCTCTAACTGCACTGTCATGGAACTCCTGTAACAAGTGGGGAATATGTATGGAGGTTCATGGCATCACAAACTTCCCTTGATACAATAGTCTCTCCCCCTCAATGCAGTAACCAGGATGGCTACTCTTGTCTTTAGATCTTCCCTGATCTTTCTCAATTCTTCATTCAGCATGCTTTTTTCCTTGATAGCCCCCCAGTTGACCATTAACGGTACTGACACAACAAACTCCTAGAACTCCCCCATATACCTGGACAAAGAGTCAGCTGCTTTATTTTCTAGGCCTGGCCTGTACTGGATCTCAAAATCATAACCCAATGGTTTGGATAGCCATCGTTGATGCTCCTCAGTTACCATTCTTTGCTCCAAAAGGTACTTTAAGCTCCTCTGATCAGTTCGAACGATGAAGTGTCGACCCAAAAGATAGGGGCGCCACTTCTGAATAGCCAAGACAATGGCCACCAGCTCCCTCTCATACACTGACTTCAGTCTTGCCCTGGTTGATAGCGCTTGTATGGTATAGGCCTGTGGTTCTGCATCAACACTGCCCCCAACCCATATCATGATGCATCAGTCTCTACTACAAAGGCCTGGCTAAAATCTGGAAGAGCTAGAACAGGAATAGTGGTCATGGCTTTCTTTAACCTCTCGAAGATCTTGGTTGCTGCATCTCCCTAGGAAAAGTTGACTTTATTCAACTGCTCAGTTAAAGGTCATGCAATGGTATCGTACCCCTTCACAAACTTCCTGTAATAACCAGTCAATCCTCGGAAACCCCTCAAATCCCTTATGTTCCTAGGCAGTGGCCATTTTCATTGCCTCAATTTTGGTTTGGTCCGCCGCCACTCCTTAGGATACCACATGTCCAAAATACTCCATGCTTGACTGAGCAAAGCTGCATTTCTTCAGGTTGGCTCTCAGCTGATGCTCCAACAGTACTTCTAAGACCACCCTCAAATGTTCCAAATGCTCCTCCCCAATCTTGTTGTATACCAGAATGTCATCAAAAAAGACTAGGACAAACTTCCTGAGGTGCTGCTTGAATACCCTGTTCATCAAAGACTGAAAAGTAGCAAGAGCATTAGTCAATTCAAAGGGCATTACCACAAACTCATAATGCCTTTCATGTGTCCTGAAGGCTATCTTTGGAACATCTGCCTCCCTCATTTTAAGCTGGTGGTATCTGAATTTTAAGTCTAATTTGGAAAACACCACTGCCCCATATAGCTCGTCCAATATCTCATCAATTACCAGAATTGAGAACTTGTCTGGTACATTGCTCTTATTCAGAGCCCTATAATCCACACAGAATCTCCAAGTCACATCCTTCTTTTTGACCAAGAGGATTGGACTCGAAAAGGGGCTAACACTTGGCCGGATGATCCTCGCCTCTAGCATTTCCCAGATCAACTTCTAAATCTCATCTTTCTGAATATGTAGGTAACGATAAGGGCGGGCACTGATCGGTGTTTCCCCTTCCTTCAAGGTAATGGCATGCTCCAACTCCCTCTGAGGAGGTAAACCCTAGGGAGGTTCAAAAACTTCGCTGAACTGGTGTATGAGCGGCTGCACTGAAGATGGAACATTGCCTTCTTCCTCTAGTCTGACCCCTAGCTTCTAGGTGGTGCAACTCCACCAAGTAGCCTCCTCCCTCCTCCTGAATGGTCATGATTAGAGATTTGAGAGAAACCCCAGCCTTGGTCAGCCCAACATTACCCTGAATCATCCTCCTTCCCCCATCACCAGCTCCATCCTCAGTGTACCCCAATTGATCTTGGTCTCCCCCAATGTCTGCAGCCACTTCATCCCTAAGATGACGTCAGCACTCCCCAATTCCAAGGGAAGGAAGTCCTCCCTCACATGGATCCCCTGAATCTCCAGCACCACCCCTCTACAAACTCCTCTAACCACATCCACCTTTCTCGTGCCTATCATCACTCCATAGCCTTCGGTATCCACTAACTCCATCCCAAGCAGCTCAATGATCTGGGTGAAAATAAAATTGTGTGGGTTGCCTCACCATCTAACAACACAACCACCTCTCGGCCAACTATCTCTCCTTTCACTTTCATAGTGTGACTCAGAGTGAATCCCACTACAGAGTTCAGAGAGACTTCTGCCACATCAAGATGCAACTTCTCCTCCTCCTCTGCTTCAGACCTGCTCTCACCTCCCTCCTCATCTTCCTCGTCTTCACAGACAAGGAGAACCTGAAGAGTTCAGTCCTTGCACCTATACCCCAGCATGTACTTCTCATTATATCTGAAGCACAACCCCTTCGCCCTCTTCTCCTACATCTCCTTTTCCATCAGCTTTTTGAATTGTCCCCCATTTCCCCCTCCTCAAGTTTTCTCCTTTGGCGC